TCATGTTTGGGAGGGTGGAGGGACAGCACAGGAGGGGAAGACCCTCTATGAGGTGGATTGATTCAGTGACTGGGGTAATGGGGGTATGTGGTCAGAGACAGTGAGATCAGCACAGGATAGAGAAGGGTTTAGGGCTGTTGTACAGAGAGGGTTGCTATGAATCACAGGTGACTCAACAGCACATAACAACATACAGGCTTACTTACAAAGTTCGTATACATTGTTCCCTTTGTTTTATTAACTTAAATGCTGTTCTAGATTTTCAGCCATTCTCACCAGGATCTTCTCTTAGGATCCTGGTCAAAGAAGTAGTGGTAACCAGGAACCACCTGTTTCTTCTGATCTGAAGTTAGAGGAGGTCATTAGCCCTCTGAGTTTTGGGAGTACTTCATTCTCCTTTGTTGTGATTCCCTGCCCAGGAATTGGATTGACTACATGTGTGGAAAGAATCCTTGGAGAAGCTCAATATCAGCTGTCAAAATAACCCAGGCCAAGTGCTGACGTTCTGTTTCTCGCATTTGGTTGGAGCCTTTGTCCAACCCAAGGAGGCGGAACCAGGGCGTTTGTTACAGGGTTGTTTCACCATCCTTGTCTCTAAGGAGCATCTTGTTTTCACCTGTGGGATTCTTGATAGTTTGGAACCACCAGAACCCCCCCTCCCCCTTTAGGATTATTGGTCCACCTCCCTACAGATCATGGCCGCAAAGCCCTGTATTGTGCTCCATGGCCCTACATGATGGAGTGGACACCCCATAGGACACCCAACGTTGCCATCTCTCTTTTTTTTTTAACTTTTTTTTTAAAACATTTAGTTTATTTTTCCCCTGTGCCAGTGGTGAGTTTATTAAACAGCATATTATTTTTCTAGTTCTCTTATCCACTTTGTCTCTTCTCTAATAATGAATTCAATGCAATTATTTTTATTCTTAGCTTTTTTGCATATAAATTGTTGTCAAGGGAATTTTTTTTATTTCCATTCATTCATTGTTGCACTTTTCTCCCTTCCCAACCCTTCCCACCCCACAACCCCACCCCCGACCCCGACCCCAGTACACTGGAAAAGTACATTGGAAAAGTAAAAAAAAAGTCATTGTTTTACAATCCCTCCCCTCAGGTCCACTCCACTGTGCAGACTTCACTCCCGACTCCTGTCATGACAAAAAGACCTAATAATTTTCCCTCTAAAACAGTTTTCTCCATCATCTATGCATTATTAAAGCCATCTTTCTCAGTCTCCTCCCAACCCCAAGGTCAGTCCTGTTTTACAACAGTGTTACCATGCAGTATTTGTCCTTTTGTGACTGAGATATTTCACTCTGCATAATGTCCTCCAAGGTCACCCATTTTGAATAGTATTGCATGAGTTCCTTGTTTTTCAAAGCAGCGTAGTATTCCATTGTATGAATATACCACAGCTTCTCTATCCAATTGTTTGTTCTTGGGCACTTAGGTTGTTTCCAGCTCCTTGCTATTGTGAACAAAGCTGCAATAAACATGGGTGTGCATATGTTGTCATCTCTTCCCAGAAGCCAGCTGCCTCATCTTCCTTCTCCCAGGCTCAAACCGTGGGCCTTTTCAGTTGCCAGCTGGGTGCTTTATCCACCCCACCACCCGAGATTCCCTGAGATGTTCCAAGAATTTCTTGCTTTCTATGGGAAGGAGGAGAAAGGTCTTACTCTTCTTTGTTGCCTCTGGAAGGAAATTGTCTGGATTCATCTGTCGAATCTGCTTGTCTTGAAGCTGATTCCGACTCCTGACGAGGCTACGAGACAGAGAACTGTCCCGTCGGCCTCTAAGGCCGTGATTCAGTGGGTGCAGACCATCTCCGCCTTCTCCTTGGAGCCGCTGGTGGGTTTGAACTGCCAACTTTCTGATAAGCTATTGTTTTTGTTATCTGGGGCAGCTATCAGACACAAGAGGGTGGCTTTCTCAAACAGAAATGGATTCTCAAAACAAGGAATTCATCCAATATTAATAAAAAAGGGTGACCCTGGAGGACATTATGCTGAGTAAAGTATCTCAGTCACAAAAGGACAAAAACTGCATGGTGCCACTTTTGTAAAACAGGACTGACATCAGGGTTGGGGGGAGACTGAGAAAGATGGGTTCAACAATGTATACTGCATTGAAACAGATGACAGAGAAAACTGTTTTAGAGGAAAAATTATTAGGTATTTTTGTCATGATGGGAGTCCAGAGCGAAGGCTGTGTGGCGGAGTAGACCTGGGGGAAGGGTTTGTAAAACAATGAAAGAATTTTTCTTTTACTTTTCCAAGAGGATAGTGTACTAGGGGGGAGGGTTGGGAGGGGAGAAAAGTGCAACAATGAATGAATGGAAATCCAAAGTCTCTGTAAATTTTTACTGAAATTAATAATAAATTAAAAAAAAAAGAAATGGATTCTCTTACGGTTTCTTGTTGTGACCCGCCAATGAGGCAAAAATCAACTCAGAAGCCGATCTTCCAGAGTTTTCAGAAGCTGTAAATTGCACAGGACAAGAATGCCCATCTTTCTCCCATAGGGCTGCTTGTGGATTTGAACTGCGTGCCTTTGGGTTGGCAGCACAACTCCTTACCCACAAGGCCACCAGAACCCCCTTTTAAGAGACCAGGAATCCACCTTCAGGCAGTCAGCTCCAGGGGAAGGCCCTCTTTCTGTGGGCTCTGGAGGAAGGTCTGTGTTTCCCCCAGCATCTTCAGGTCCCGTGTTCCTTGGAAATCTCCAAGAGTCTTCCACTCTGTCAAGGGGCTTCCTCCAGCTGGGACTTGACGCCAGAAGGACCCATTCCACTCCTGGCCATTCTTTTTTTCCTTTTCTAGTGGTCCTGAGCTCCACCTCAAAACTCACTTTCCTCCTCTTTTATCTCCAGTGAGGAACAAGTTCTTAACAGCCACACTGTCGAGAAACTTCCTTGGTAATCATCAGCGTTGTGTTGGTATGAAGGCGTGTTGTATTCCACCCACAGTCCTCTTACAGCTGGTCCATTTTTCAGATTCTGGAGGGTCCTTACATCAGGTCCATAGAACATCGTTACGCACGTCCACGGATTTTGGGGGAACAGAATTCAATCCATGACAGCTGTTGAGTGCTTGAACTTCAGTGCCGCTGGAGCTCCTGGGCACATCAAATAGAAAAATAATAATAATAGTAATAATAATAATAATAACAACTGTCAATGCTCTCTTTCCCCTGCACTTATCTCAGTTTATAATTGCACATTCATTAGCGTGATTATGTGATTCATGTCTGTTTCTTTCACCAGACTGTCATCTCCTTGGGGGGGGGTCTCTTTTCACTCCCCACTGTACTTATCCTCTTGAGCTCACTGGATACACAGTAATAACAGACAAGACTCACTCAGACATCATCCTGAAAGTCACTGGATACATAGTAATAACAGATAAGACTCACACAGCCATCTCCATGTGTCAGGGAGCCTCTCAGGACCTTTCCTCTCATTCATGAATGGATATTTTGTTTTGTTTTACTTTTAAAATTTATTTTCTTTTATTCGTTTTTGTGTGTGTACCATCCAATGGAATCTGACTGGTACAGGAGGAGGACATCGTCCCACGAATGGATATTTTGATTGTAGTTTGAGACAGAAATTGTACAGAATTTCCAGGTGACAACTCAGACATTTTTCAGTAGTTTGTTTTCTTGAAATATTTTTTGTTTTGTTTTACTTTCTTTTTTTTTTTTTTGCCAATGTTAGTAAATATATTTATGTAATTCTGTCTTAGTTCTCTGTTGCTGCTTATGTTTTACTTTCTAACTGTTTTGTTGTGATATGAGTGAAGCTTGACTGGTTTACACACAGCGTTAGCTACGATACCCTCAATGTCCTAGCATCTTCCTGTTTCTTTTCCAGGGTTTTCCAGTTCCATTTATTATCCCTTTCCTGCTTTGTTGGAGCTTGAGTTTTGGGCAAATGTTGTACCGAAGAGTAAGTTTCTTTCTGGGGTTCTCACTTTATGTTGTCATTGGGTATATTCATCACATGAAGACATAAGGCCACTGTACACTTCATAACATACCATCTAGTTTGTGAAGTGTGCAGTGCATTGTGGGAAAAAATCTGATATACTGAGAACACGATCAAAATGGGATCAGAGACGTGAGACACGTGTTATTGAAGAAAATGGTACCCACAGACTTGCAGGGTTGTGGCAAATCTTCAATTTGTATACAAAGAAAAAGGATCTTGTATGTGGAATATAATAAAGCAATGTACAGGAAAATGAGCTGAACCTGCTCCACCCCCAGCTCTGTCTTTGTTCTGATTGGTGCACAGTCTCACCTCCAGCTTCCCCTGGGTTCATTTACAAGAGATTCTAGGGCTGAAAAGTGACGCACAGAAGGGCTTCCACGGCTTCTCCAGGGAAGCTGCGTGCCTTTGCCTTCACCCCATAATCATATCACAAACAACTCCGGAGCAAGGCTTTGCACATTTCCAAACCTTTAATCCCACTTCAGACCCCAGGGAGGTCAGACTCAGAAGTCTCCCTCTCCCTCTTTCATCCCCAAACCCCACGCCAAGGAGCAAGTGGTCAGAAATCTCTCCCCCAGGTGGACAAATCCAGACCTGGGAAGCAGAGACCCTTACCCTCCTCCGAGATCTCCTGGCTTCTCCCTCCCACCCTGGTTTCTCCATCAGGTCCCCATCAGCCATCTCAGGGGACCCTCGTTTGCAAAAAGCCTCTGCTCATCCCATCTCCAAACGACCCCAACTCGACCACTGAGTAGACAGTATTTATAGAAAGGGCAGAAAGGGAGTGTGACAATAATGAAAGCCCCAGAGCAGGAGGAACGCAGTTTCTCAAGTAGATGGAGCAAAAATAAATCTGAGTTTAGAGCAGACATAGAGGAAGGGTTTGGCAGGAGCACAGAGAAAGCAAATCGGTGGCTCTAGGTGCCTTCTTGCCCCTGCTTGGGACAAAAGGTCCTCCAGGACCCAGGAGGCAGCGCCAGCAGCAGGAAGCAGCCACCCCCCAGCATCAGGACCAGTCCAGCCGCCACCCCACAGCCCAGAGACCAGGAGTATTCATAGGCCAGGGCTGGGGCGGGTGTAGGCTCAGAGCTGACTCTGCTGAGCAAGGCTTGCACAGAATGCCGGAAAACCTCCACGCTCACCAGAAGTAGCAGGCCTGGGGAAGAGAGGAGACAGCACGTTACTCAGGTCTCGGGGGTGGGAGGACCCTATTTGGGGTCCCCAATACACCCTCTTTTATATGAAAACAAGAAACCTGGAAGATTTCCCAGCCATCCTCTTGCTTATTTGTTTCAAAACAAACAAACAAACTTTCCAAATGCCTATAAAAGAGCCCTGGGCAAACATCAAATTCTGGTGAGGTTGTGGAGAAACTGGAACCCTTAGGTGGATTGATTCAGCAACTGAAGTAATGGGGGTAGGTGTGTCGAGACAGTGACATTGGCCCAGGATAGAGCAGGGTTTAGGGCTATTGTACATAGGGTCGCTATGAGTCGCAGGCAACTCGATGGCACATAACAACAACAACAACATCTTAAATAATTCTTCCAACTCCTAGCAGCTTCAGTTTGGAGATGGATTAGGCTTTCCGCTCAGCTTTTTCTTCCATAAAGTCTTTGGTGTATAATTCTTTTTTTTCCCGGTTAATTCCTCAGAAATACAACTCGAGATATTTCTCCTGAAGCATCTTTGGATGGATTTAAGCCACCCACCTTTCCGTTAGCAATGTAACCATGAGCACCATCCATGATTAGATCCCCCAAAGACATCAAACCAATCGGTACGTTGATTCTGATGCATGATGACTTCGTGGTGGTCACATGGAACAGCACACCCCAGGGTCTCACTAGCTGGCGTTATTTGTTTTTTGAAGTTGTGATTTGGATGAAAATTTGCAGAACACATTGATTTTTCCGTTCAATAATTCATCCACGTGTTTGTTTCGGGGCATCATCTTTTAGAAGAAGTGCAACTAGGGTGCTTTTTTGGAAGCAAAGATTATAAAACTTTGTCTCATATACTTCGGGCATGTTGTTAGGACAGTCGTTGATGACTCATAGTGACCCTATGAATGAAAGACCTGAACATTTGTATAACTTTCATCGTGTCTCCAAGTTCATACAGGTTTTGGAGGCAAGCTACTTTTGGAAGTGGATGTTACTCCTGCTTCCAATGTTATTGTCATAGGGAATTACATTTTACAAGATATACCATTCTCTTTAGACTCTCAACTTCCAGAATGAAACAGTCCTTGAAGGTCCCAGGTCTAAATCTTAGAATATTTGAAGATATTCCAATTCTTAGTCAATAAAGCTTGAAACTCTCACCTTTGAATTTCCACATTTCATGACTCTCTCTCTCTCTCTTTTTAATTTTTATTTTATTATGTTTTGTGTGTACCATCAAATCGGATCTAACTGGTACAGGAGGAGATTGTTCCTCCTTCTCCAGCAGAGCATCTGGTGGATTTGAACTGTGTACCTTTGGGATTGCAGTACCGCTTCTTGCCACGAGGCCACCAGAGCTCCCCTTCATGCCTGTCTCTTAGACTCTTGTGGCATTTCCCATGAGCAGCAGCAGGTAATCTCTCAAAATGGTTTGCTATTCGCTTGACCCGGAAAATCCCACAAAATCATGCAAATCAAGAGGCTCTAATCTCCAGGACCATTTTAAGAACACCTGGGAAACTGGGCAGGCCATCAAGGGTATGCATATCTGGAAAGCCACCAAGTATCTGAAAGAGGTCACTTTGCAAAAGCAGTGTGTGCCCTTCCAACGATACAATGGTGGAGTTGGTAGGTGCGCCCAGGCCGAACAGTGGGGTTGGACACAGGGTCGGTGGCTCAAAAAGAGGGCCGAGTTTTTGCTGCATATGCTTAAAAACGCCGAAAGGAATGCTGAACTTAAGGGTTTAGATGTTGATTCTCTGGTCATTGAGCATATCCAGGTGAACAAAGCTCCCAAGATGCACTACTGCACATACAGAGCTCATGGTCGGATTAACCCCTATACAAGCTCCCCCTGACATATTGAGATGATCCTTACCAAAAAGGAACAGATTGTTCCTAAACCAGAAGAGGAGGTGGCCCAGAAGGAAAAGATCTCCCAGAAGAAACAGAAGAAACAAAAACTTATGGCTCGAGAATAAATACGTCATCAAATAAAATGAAAATAACTTTAAAAAAAATAGACTGTTATTGTTGATGGCCTTCGAGTCAAACACGACTCATACATAGTGCCTCTATGAACAAAAGGCCTGAAGCCTTTCTGTAACTATCGACATTTATCAAAGTTTATAGAGTTTCCAGAGGCATGTTGAAGTGGATACCACTCCTGCTTCCAGTCTCCCATTTTTAGCCAACAACAGGGCTTGGAACTCTTCCGATTTCACATTTCTACAGCCCATTAACTTTCTCTAACTCCCATCATTCCACAGTGTATAGAGATACCCTCTCCACAACTCCTATCCTGCAATGGAAGTTGAAGACTTCCACCTCCCATCACTTTGGAGACTCACATTCCATCATTCAACAAGGCATGGAAACACCTCTCTCCTCAATTCCCATCATGCAATGAAATTTGGAGACCCCTATCTCCCATCACGCAATGGAGGTTAGAGACCTCACAGTCCATCATTCAACAATGCATGGAGACCTCACCTTCTAGAAAACAACAGTTCTTGGAGACAACTCCCCCCGCCCCAGGCAACTCCCAGGATGCAACAGTGCTTGGGGACCACACGTCCAAAACTAGAACAATGTTTAGAGTGACTCCAATTCCTATCCAACAAAAGGGCTCAAATCTTTTGTTGGATAGGAATTGGAGGGAGGGATTGTATAACAATGAAAGAATTTTTCTTTTACTTTTCAAAGGGAAGAACAAACTGGAAGGGAGGGGTGGATAGGGAGAAAAGTACAACAATGAATGAATGGAAATCCAAAATCTGTAAATGTTCATTAAAATTAATCATAATAATAATAAAAGGCCTCAAATCTCTTCTTCTCTTTAAATTTTTCTAGCCCATGAGCTTCTCCTAACTCTCTTTTTCCATCATGCAATAGTTCCTGGAGATCAAGTATTTCTCAGCATGAATAGACCTTGGAGACATTGGATCCAAATTGAAAAAGAATGTTTGGAAGCCCTCACTGCCACATAGGAGGACTTGGAATTCTCACACCTTTTCGTCTACTTCAGTCCTTGGACTTCTCCCAATTTCCAACGTGCAATTTGTGCTTGGAGACTCTCCCAACTCCCCACACCCACACACAAGATTACTTGAAAACTCTATCTCCCGACACGCCTCAGTGCTTGGAGAGCTCATTTCCCAGCACACCTCCCAGCATGCAATGTCTTCAAGCCTCCAGGCTCTCACCCCTCACCTGAAAGGCCAAAGCAGACGGCTCCAACTCGGAGCAGGAACTCTGCACCTTTGCTGAGTACCATGATAATACACAGGCAGCCCAGGGCCATGACTACCAGCCCCAACACCGCTATCACTGCAGCTGCCAGATTGATCTCTGTGTAGAGAGAAACAGAACATGTGGGAAGGAGGAAACTAGGACTTCCCTAGAGGAATTCAGAACTAGGAAGTCAGAAGCAACAGAACTAGAAAAAGGAATTTTTCAAGTCAGATGGCAGCATCTAGTCTAAAAATATTCTTTATGAGTTTGAAAGAACTAAGACTTAAAAAAAGCAGTTATTTGAGGGGAGCTCTGGTGGCCTAGTGACAAGAAGCTGCACTGTAATCCCAGAGGTACGTGGTTCGAATCCACCACATGCTCCGCTGGAGAAGGAGGGATGATCTAATTTGATGGAACACAACAAAATAAAATAAAAAAATTTTAAAAAAGCAACTGACATCCAAGCAGACACCCATGTTTATCGCAGCTTTGTTTACAATAGCAAAGAGTTGGAAACAACCCAAGTGCCCATCAACAAACAAATGGATAGAGAAGCGCTGGTACATTCACACAATGGAATACTATGCTGCATTGAAAAACAAGGAACTCATGCAATATTATTCAAAATGGGTGACCCTGGAGGACATTATGCTGAGTAAAGTATCTCAGTCACATAAGGACAAATACTGCATGGTGCCACTGTTGTAAAACAGGACCGACATCGAGGTGGAGGGGAGACTGAGAAAGATGGGTTCAATAATGCATACCACATTGAAACAGATGAGGGAGAAAACTGTTTAAAAGGGATATGTGATTAGGTATTTTTGTCATGACAGGAGTCCAGAGCGAAGGCTGCACAGTGGAGTGGACCTGTGAGGAGGGATTTTATAACAATGAAAGAATTTTTCTTTCACTTTTCCAAGAGGACAGTGTACTAGGGGGGGAAGGTTGGGAAGGGAGAAAAGTGCAACAATGAATGAATGGAAACCCAAAGTCTCTGTAAATTTTTACTGAAATTAATAATAAATTTAAATAAAATAAAACAAAAAAGAGCCGTTATTTGCCTAAAGTCACAAAGTAAAGAGGGAATAATACAAAAATTAAGAAGGAATGGAGTCATTGAGTTAATGTAGATTAACTGCTGAGACTACAGCTCTGAGATAATCTTTAAATCTTAGTCCTAAAACCCATACTATGCCTTGAAATCGCCTGCGAACAGCCATCTCTAAGGGATCATACTGGTAATAGGAACTTACTTGAAAGGAAGCTTAGGGGCCAGGGAGGTTATATTCATGTTGTTGTTGTTTAGTGCCGTCAAGTCGACCACAAGCCATAGCGACCCTACAAACAGCAGATCTGAACCCACCCCCACGCCCTGTACTTTCCCCACCGTCGCTGATATACGTGAGCCCTTGTTGCTGTGCTGAAACTCTGTCTCACATAC